GCCTGCACAAAATGCTGGGGGGAGAGAAGCTGTCAACCGCCTGCCCCATGCGCAGCACCGGCCTGGTGCCCAGGAGCCCCAAGGCCAGCCGTGCTCCTCCCTGCAGCCTGCCGGGATGGGAACCCAGGTCTCATGGTGCCACCCCAGCACCTCCGCAGATGCCGCTGCCGCTGGCCCCACGGGGCTCTGCCCAGCCCCACCATCGCCCCACCCTCCTGCGGTGCCGCAGCCCCCCTGCTCTGTACCAGCATCATCCATGACGGCCAGTCGCCTTGGACCAGCAGCTGAGCGGATTTCCCACTGCAGTCTTTATGGCTGTCCAGCCACGACTTCTTCTCCACCGAGACGAAGAGGCACTTGCTCCTGTAGAGCACCCAGCCCGAGGGGCAGCAATCTGGGGGCAGGGGCACAGCTCAGGCGCTCACCCTCCCACGGATGCTCGGGGGGTCCAGCCTGGCCGTGATCAGCCCCCACATCTCCCCAGCAGCATCACTGCCCGTGCCCCCACCCCGCCACGGCCCTACCTGTATTCACGCAGGCACGCAGGCTGCTCACAGTGCTCTTGCTGGCCCTGAGCTCCCCCTGCACCTCCTGCACTTCCTTCTGCAGCACAGCCAGCTCCTGCCTGGTGCGCTCCAGCTCAGCGTCCCGGCTCCCCAGCTCCAGCTGGCTGCTGTTGCCCTCCTGCCACGCTCGCTGCAGCTCTTGCACGCTCACCTCCTGCGAGAGGCGGCCCTGCTCGGCCGCATGCTCACGGGAGGCGTCCTGCAGGCTGCGGGTGACCTGCCAGTCTGGGGACAGGGGGGGTGAGCTGGGGCATGGGGGTGGGACAGCCCGGGCAGGGGGACACGGGACTGCCCCTGCTCAGGGCATGGCCCTTGCTAGGGGGAGTGGGATAAGGGTGCCTGACTGTGGGCAAGAGACTGTCCTGGGGGTGCCAGTGGGAAGGGAAGGGAAGCCCCAGTGGTGGCAAGGGGAGGGGAGGCAATGGGAAGGCATTGGGAGGCAATAGGAGGCAGTGGGAAGGCACTGGGAAGCAGTGGGAAGGCAGTGGGAAGGCGGTGGGAGGCAGTGGGAGGCAGTGGGAGGCGAGGGGAAGG